ATATTGCATTGTATTGATTTGAGATTAATCGAGGATAGACCTAATCTTGGAGGCATTCTGTACACGTCGATAACCTTCGGTCACGCGATGCAATTAATCAACAGAGATTCGGAGCAATAAAAAACACAGAACGCGAATGATCATACTAATAAATGTCGCGTGACACTCTTTTCCAAGATATTAAATATAATAATAATATTGAAAATATCAAATTGATAGTCCGATTATCTTTGATGTCGAATCTTTTGAAAACGAACTTTTAATCGTAAATCAATAAATCGCATATATATATATCTTCTAGTCCATTTTTTTCGGATAAATCCTTCGGCCTTAATTTGCAATTCGAGTTGAATCGAATTAGAAAACAATGCCGCGTAAACAAGAGCGACAGACGAAACGTAGATTCCAGTTTCTATGGGAAGGTTCTACTCATTTTCCTGAATGAATAACCAAGGTAACACCGGGACTTCGATCAGTTCATTTAATTCTATTCCCGACCACGCTAAATTTTAATTAAATTTTTCACGTCCCGGCAAATTTGCAGACCGACACGGACGAATTTTAAGTTTCTCTCGTTTTATTTTGATTCGAATCGTTTGCGAACAGCTCGGGGAAATAATTGTAAAAGTTATACCGGAATTGACGTCAGATGTAAGACAGTCTCGCGAGGTAAATAAATAATGGTATCAATGTGTATACGAGTCAGTATAACGCAGAGTAACGTTTGATATACGGCCGCTTTTACGCTAATTGTAAGAATTGTTTTACGAAACAAAATTCTATCGAATTCCAATATTCCCGGTACTCCCGAGACTGCTGTTACGATTCGAGACCTCGAAATTTCAGAATATCCCGCGAAATATAACTTCCAGTCATAACTCGCCTATAATACCAGAATTAAATTATTTCGAATACCTTATCGAATACTATAAATACTATATGTGCACTTAGCAATTGCAACGACGTAGTAATTTAACTTTTGCTAATCTCGACTGTATCCTTTTAGGCTTTGTGTCTTTTTTCTAGAATAAAGAAGAATCTTAGAAATTTGTCAGTTCCATTCACTTAAATTTCAAAGGTTTGTTATAAAGGTCTAGCTTCTTTTCTCCGAGGAAGAGACGAAAGATGCGTCGCAGAGAGGAGACACTCTGATCTCTACTCCAGACACATTCGGAGGATAGTTGCTATAAAGTTTTAGGCGATAAAAATCTCACACTATCCCGTTCCTTTCCCAAGGACGATAAAAAAAGAAAGGGATCCGACTTCTTTCAAGGCCCAACAATTCTGGAAATATTAAACCTAACTCAAATTTAACTCTAATTTAACCTAATCTTCTTGATGGTATCAATAAGATTTTAAAAAAAAAAAGGAAGGTTAGAGTCCTATAGTTCAAATTAGTATAGGTCACGAAACTCTGTAATTAATCAGTATTTACAGTATTTTCACAGTGTCAGTGAAATACAATTTCTTATCAGTCGCATGTATAATATAATATATATGAAATATATGATATTTCACACACGAAACGGAACGCACATTCATTTCGAACTTGTGTCTGAACTCTCTGGAAGCTCCGGAAGCATAAATAGTTCGAAAAAGACAGATCCTATTGTGTATGATCCGATCTCGAAATCGGATCATCGTGTGCCATTATATGAAAAAGTTGAAACGTACAAAATTTCAGCCGAAGCCTTTGGTCCATCGGGACGGGACACGTTGGAATATATATTTCGTTATTTCTGCAAATATTTACTCGCGCAGGATTGTGCCGGACAAGGACATAAATACCAAAATAGATAGCGACAGATTTGCAGAAGTAATCGTACAAATCGAGAACGCCCCCCCGATGATTTCGCGTATATTTGTCGAATCTTTTAATTGGCAAACAGAAGTTACTCGCAAATAGTAACGAACGATTATAAATGGTGATTTTGCTTCAACGCGAAGGAGAATTTCATCGTATTTTCACGCTGGGAGAAATTTCGCTTGAAATAAGAGCAATAATTTATCGTTGAATTCACCGTACACAGTTAATTATACATTGTCTGATTGCACAATTTCTGCTCTAATTAGTACCGTACGATTTTGAAATTGTTGAACAAGTCAAACGAAATTAATTTTACGCATTGTTTTCCTTTTCTTTTTTGTTTCTTCTTTTTTTTTTTTTTTTTTTTTTTTCGAAAATTATATACTTCACAACGAAGTTTCATGCGGTTGGCAAAGCTCACAGCCGTCACATTTGTCGGGTATAAATTAGTATTTGGTGAAATGAAATTTCATCGAGATTTACTTTATCGATGGAGATCTCCGAGCTCCCCGTTGTTTAATGCGATAGTGATTTTCCGTGCTTACACGTGAGCGAGTGTAATCCACCCGACACGTTGATCATCGATTACCAGCTTAAATCCCGCATTATGCACTGTTTTGTATATTCCCGGAATTTTCCTCACGTTGGGTTATATTGCCCCTATTGCAAACGGTGCCCGGGTTTCGATCATTTGCGGAAATGAAAATCGTATTTTGCGTGTTTAAATACGCTGCGTGGTGGTCGATGACTTCCTGCAATTGAACGAAGAATCTGCTGCAATAAGGAATCCATTTCCCACTAATTTGACTGAATTGATAAAAGTTATATTTTGTGTTTCGACGGATGCAATATTGTACCGTATGAAAATATTTCGATACTTATCGGGAAAATCTTTGATACCGTACATTTCGTAGCAAGCAAAATATTTTTCGATATTTCGTTATTAATACTGTAATGGAACTTGACCGTCGCAATTCTATTGGTCACAAATTCGAAAGTAATCTGCAGATCTGTATATAAAAGTTTCTAGTAAATATAAAGATATTTTAATAAACATATTCGTCAACTATATTTAGTGAATATATTTAGCATGAATAATCATTTGATATATATATCTAATTAATATTGAAGATATCTGAATTCTTTTGGTGAAATATATGATTTATTACTCACTGTAACAATACATTCGTAGTTGCGTAATACAGTTTGTAGAAATATCTACAAATTTTTATCCTACTGTGTGTACATAAATATAATCAAAATTCTCCAAGCGGTGAAATGATCTACGATCATTGTCACGTAAGAAAATTGAATCACTCACACGTACTTTTTTTTTAATTTCCTGTAATACGCATCCATCCGTAGTGTAGCTTCAGTCGGTCTCGTTCACGTTTAAACGGCTTCCGTCTGACTGATGTGTCCGAAATTTAATACCAGACGTACCCAGCTGGTACGTCTCAATTGACGATCGATTGTTAGCGTAAAATTAAGTTTCTTTTTTTTTTTTTTTTTTT